AACACTATGTAGAGCTGCATTATGAATTGCTTGGACTTCAGTTTCCAAGCTGAGCTCTGGATTTTGAATTATAAACTACAGCTTGATGTAACTCAGACCTTGTGTAAATTGTCAACCATCCATTTTTCACAGAATCACAGAATGTCAGGGGTTGGAAGGGACTTCAAAAGATCATCTAGTCCAGCCTCCCTGCCAGAGCAGGATCACCTACAGTAGGTCACACAGGAACGTGTCCAGCCTTTCCTCACAAGGGAGATGTTCCGCTCCATCATCTCTCTGGCTCTGCGCTGGACTCTCTCAAGCAGTTCCCTGTCTCTCTTGAGCTGAGGGGCCCAGAACTGGACACAAGATTCCAGATGCGGCCTCGCCAGGGCAGAGCAGAGGGGCAGGAGGACCTCTCTCGACCTACTAGCTACTCCCCTTCTAATACACCCCAGGATGCCATTGGCCTTCTTGGCCACAAGGTCACATTGCTGGCTCATGGTCATCCTGCTGTCCACCAGAGCCCCCAGGTCCCTTTCTCCTACGCTGCTCTCCAGCAGGTCAGTCCCCAACCTATACTGGCATATGAGGTTGTTCTTTCCCAGGTGCAAAACTCTACACTTGCCCTTGTTGATTTTCATAAGATTTCTCCCCACCCAGCCCTCTAGCCTTTATAAGTCTCTTTCATCTTGAGTCGTAAATTATGATGAAAATCAATCAGACTTTTATTCCAAATTGGTGCGCTTTTTATCAAATTGACACAACACTGTGCTGTAATGTGAATAATTGAGAGTCATATGCAGACTATCAACTTCAGGCAGCTATTTAGATTTTGCCATGTGTAAAAGGTAGGCACTCAGCCTCAGCAAAATTATTTAGATCACCCACATGAAGAGCCCTAACTACCTCAGAGTAAGAACTAAGTGCTTTTGAGGGCTTCCAAAAAACAAGCCAAAAGGTCTATGCTGGGATCACCCTACCGATCACCGTGTTAGGAGTGCTTCCACAGGACTATTCATGCTGTTGGCACATGCACTTATTAATGCTGGATTGTTGTTGCTAGCATATGGCAGTTTGCAGAAAACAAATTAAAGAGTACAAAATCTTTTTGATTCGGTTAAACGGGCACGTAATTGCTTGAATGTTACTGACATTGAAAGCATGGAGCTCTAAGGGTAATCATAGCAGTGTCACAGTTTTCCTGACATCAAAGCATGCTATCAAACAACGCAAAACACTTCTAAGACAGGACACGTGATACAGTAAATCAAGTGTTGTGCAGAACTTTTCCACAGAGCCATATAAAATGATGCTACAAACTTGTAAATTTTTTTTTGGTGACATATAATGTTCCAGAACAGTGTAATTTTTCACCTGTTTATTTGGGGTGTTCATAAAGGACAGGAGTTTGCATGAAGAATGCATAAATACTGTGACAAACAGGGAAATACCAAGATTATTTTAATGATTTGTGTATGCTTCTATTTCTTGGTAATTACTGATGTGTGATTAAATCAAAGATTGCTCTTCAGGAAGAAAGAGGAAGAAATTAAAAAGTGGCAAAGACAAGACTGTAGCCCCAAGTAAATAATAAGAAAGATGGTAAGACAATGGCAGAAGTCTAATCAGTTGTGAAAGAAACACTTTTGAGACTGACATTTGGGATGAAAACAAATCCTGAATTGTCAAGATGCTGGTATTACCAACACGGAAGTGTTTCTCGATTGTCAGACTGGTTGACACTCCCTCTTAGGGACGCTGATAGTCTTATGTCTAAATTCGCATTAAGAGACACTTTGGCCGTCATTGAGATCCGATTCACAAGCTGCCCAAGCAACAGACTTGAAAAGCCTGTTTAGCTGGTGATATGGTCTCCTGGACAGACAGACAGACCAGTGTTAACCCCAGGAGGGCCTGGCAGAACAACCAGGTTCATGGAGAGCAGCTGCTGCCTTGGTTTCCACGTGGAGCCCACTTGGACCATGCAGAGCCACCCCAGTGGAGACACGGACACAGGGTATGAGGAAGGATGAAGAAGCAAAGGGATGCAGGGCTAGGCATGAGCTGGCACCAAGAGGGTGTACCTGCTCCATTAACGATGGGGAGAGATTTCTCTGGGAACAGGCAGCAGCTTGGAGTGAGGTCTCTCGGAGGCCCCCTCTGGGAACTGGCAGGATTTTAACAGCTGGAGCTGCTGAAGCGGCCAAACTGACCCCAACTCGGTCCCGACCTCAAGGATGAACTCGAGAGGGACAGAAGCAATCCAAGTACCTCTCACCTCATAACTATGTCGTACACAACATGAGCTTCCACTGGAAAAAAATCATCAGAATGTGAACTTTGATTTCAGTGGAGTTTTAAGCTGGAATTCTTTTTTCCAAATTGTTACTATGCATTTCCCAAACTTTCTCCCAAGTCTGCTCAGTATTCTAAAGAAACGCAAATGTTTCCCATAAGAATCAAATGAGGTTTATAGCTTTTCACAGGTTTTATTGGCATGTGGTACTGAGTGCTTGCTGTAATGAAGGAATTTCATGTCAGTGGGAATATTAGAAAGAAAAAAGAAGGCATTTTATTAGGAGTGGTATCTTTTCTTAAAGCTAGCTAGTTTTCCAGTGTCTGTCTAAAGGTTTTGCTGATTTTTGTATGCACATGTGAGAAACGTGGTATACTATAATTGCACCATGCTGTTCTCAAAACTGTTCTGCAAAGATCTGCTTTGTTAAGGGAGCTCTTTTGTTAATGATACTGAACTTGGCAAGGGACCCAGGAACCGTATCAGCGAGAGAACCATTCAGAAACACGTTTATATTAAACTTCCAAGTTGGAGTCTCCTGTTTCCCTGGGGTTACATGGTTGTAGCCTGTGTGACTTTAGCAAAATTATTCCTAACTTACACTGCCTTAACAGAGTAGACTCAAACCCCAGAGAGCCGCTGGAAATGCCAGTAACATTAAGAGCTCTGGTTTTAGTATGGCATTTAGAAATAAGCTGGGCAATTTCAGCACTGGGAGAAATAACTGGATAGGCTGATCAGACATGACACCTGGAAAGTTAGTGTGGTGGAATTCTTAGCACCATCAGAGAGGGAAATTTAGGTAGTGTATAAACCTATCAAATTAATTACATAGTTTATTTTAGCTAATCACATTTCTGAGCAGGGATCCAAATGTTAGTTAGGTGGAGAGACAGATTTATTTTATCAATAAGATAAACTGAGTCAGTAGCAAAGCTTGTGAAAGAGTGTGAGAAAAAACCCCCACTGTTGTCATCATTGTAGCCATGACTTAACAGTAGAAGCATGGGAGAAGAGATTTCAAAGTTTTGTATGAAAATTTCAGCTTTACAATGTAAAGGTGATTTTTTTTTAAGGTTGCATTTGATTGCTTCATGCATACTTAAGCATATAATTAACTTGGCTATAAGCCATCTTTCTGTATTAAGGAGATCTGTCAAAGATAAAAATCTTCTGCTCTTCAAAGCTACAGAAGATGTTCCTTGTGAATGTACCAGTTCAGCAATAGTCAAAAAAGAAAATATATTCTTGAGGGTAATGAACTAGCTAGAGTCATCAAAGTATATTATTATGGCAAAAATATTAAATCAGTGAACAAAATCATGCAACAATACCAGTTCCTGAAGATGCAGCCCAGCACGATGCCGTTTATGCCAAAACACCATTCCTATTAGATTTAATAGGTACCATGAAATTTCCAGGCACTTCTGACTGACAAAGAATATTTTTCATCTTTAATTTACAGTCCTTCTGAAAAAGGAACTTGCAAAAAAAGGTCCTGCGATCATTTGTGTCTGACTGCACTTCAAATCTGCTTATAATAAAAGCCTCTGAAATGGTTTACTTGCACTGTTTCTGGATGGCTAAGTCTGTCTTTTAAATAATAGTGTGAATGTAGGCAGGGACGCAGGATTGGGAAGACATATCCTTTGTTACTGAGGGTTACTGAATCCCATCCTTTTTTCTCTATTTCATGTCACTCTTTCACTTTACACTCTTTTGTTCATGAAGCAGAGACATTTACAAGTTGAAATACACTGACCTTGGGTGAAATTCTTCACCTGGGCACCTGGACTGTGTGCGGTTGAAGATGGTTTGGGAGGAAAAAACACTTACCCTCAAGAGTTTTCCTGTACTTCACGTGCCTTTGAGATATAGATGATATAGGGGCATCCACTGACCCTGCCCTCCTTCTTCTGTTCCCATTCTAGCACATTTTAAGTTTGTAAACCTTCTTGGACATGCATCAGTCCCTGTTTTCTTTGTTTACTGAGGTACACTGGGCACTTCTGAGATTTCCAGCTGATCCTCAGATGGTAACTCTCGAGGGTGGTGTTGGGAAAGGGTAGAGGATCAATTTTTTTTCAGGCAAATACATACAGTAACTTGGCTTAAGTTCCAATTGCAAAGGAAGGCTGCAATATCTGCATGGCTCTGAAGTCTGAGGTGGCAATTGATCCGTGATGGATGTCATTCTCTATTCATTTCTGGTAAAAAGGTACTTTGTTTATTTTCACCTGCAATAAAGTGTTAGATCATTCCACAGCCTCCTTATTAAATGAAATGGAACTTCTCCCTTTGTCTTCTATGTCAGGTCAATCCATAGTGGTAAAAAAAATAACAATTTAATAGGGCCTCAGCATCTCTCGATTCTGCTATTACATCTGTTAGCTCACCACTTTCCCAAAAGACAGAGAATGTGATGAAAAACAGTGAGACATCAGGAATAGACAAACTAGTACTCAACTATTCATTTGTTTGAAAAATAAAAGGGTTTTCTTCTTTTCCAACTTTTGCTGTTTACACGGGGGACTACACGGGCCTTTTATGGCACAAGCACAGACACAGACCAGTGCAGCACATAGTTCGTAAACTGATGAAGCTCTGTCTTATTTGATTTGTAGTCCTTATTTTTTTCCAGAACCACTGTGCAGGTAGATATAAGACACCAAGGAAGAGAATTTTAAATGCTCCTTCCTTAGTCCACTCTTGTATTTTGCAGCTGACACCAGTCTTGGTACGGATGATGTTTATGATGATAAAGGGTGTCAGTGTGATGTGTCAGTAGAAGATCTCACCCCTGCTCTTAAAACTGTCATCAGAGCAATCAGGTGAGTAAAAAGTATTGAATGAATAAATATTTGAGATTTCTTTAATTAGGATACTAACTGCATGTCAATTAATAAAACAGTAGTTGGTTGAACTTATTATATGGATATATTTGTTACAGAACTAATGCTAATATAGTTGATTCATGCTTCCTTTTCATCAGTATTTTAATTAAAAGTTAAAATATTTTATCTGATCTCTTACCAGCTTTTCAATGTCTAAAATGGTACATGATACGACTCAGAAAAGAAAGAGAGTAATGAATGCTAGTTTCCACTATATTTTCTGTAATCTGAAATACTGTAATGCAGTTTGTTGTGGTTCTATTGGATGCATATCACCTTCCCTGGAAAAGTTATTTCGTTTAAAAGTTTAGGGTTTTATTGCATTTCCATGTCTTGAAAATGTCTGTCATGACTTTTATTGCAACTTTCTCCTGGTAACAGCAGAATAATTGCGTTCATTCAGTTGTGCAAAGCCTTGCCTGCTGTTACCCATTGTACCTACGTATAACCCAAATAATTTAAAGCTAATAATCTCCTTCTTTTCCAAGAAAGTAGCAAATTGCATTGAAACTTTTAAAATTACCTGCGTTGAAAGCTTAAACTTAGCATTCACCCTCCTGAGGCTGCCAAGGCTTTTCATCTTCTGGAATATTTTGAAGTGCAGATCTTGACAGGCAAAATGCCCGTCATAAAGAGTGCAAGCAAGGAGAGCTCAAACAGTCCCCCTCTGCTGACAGCAAACACGAGGTTATTGCCAGGGGTCACCTCACTGGCTCAGCATCACAGTCACAGCAATGCCCAGCACCCGTCTCACAGGCAAGCCCACAGCAGCCACAGGGGATTTCTGCAAAACCCTATGGAAGGATGATTTTTTCCTGCTGAGAGACTCTCATCTGAGTTATCTGAGCATTATGGGAAGACAGAACTCTTTATCAAATAATTTCATAGGGATAACCTATGGACTACTTTTATTTCCTTCCCCTTTTTCATTCTCCTTCACTTGCCAATGAAGACAGACAGTAAGGCTGTTTCTAACCCTTTGCTGCCAGCACAGACAGCTTGACAGATCACTTTCAGACATCTTTTCCACGCATTTTTCCAACCTGCCTGGAAATGACATCACAGGACGTGTCAGATACCAGGTCTGCGTCCACAGCAACTGGCAACTCAAATGTCACCACAGAGAACCAGCAATGTTTCAGCAGGTGACAGAAATCTTTCTACAGAGCAGACACCCATCTAAAAAGCAGGTCTGTTTCTTCAAATGGAAAATGTTCAAATTAGGAACAATCAGCATACCCCGTTGGCTCTGGTGCCAAAGATCCTTGTCTGTGATGTTGCATTTTAAACAGACTAGCTGGCTCTTGGCTCCAAGTGCACCTTGCCACTGTACTGGCAAGCGATACCAACAATCATGTCATTCTTAACAGTGTCCAAATTCCCTAAGATCAACTTCACATTTTAAAACTAAATTCATGGAGCTTGTTCAATGTATCACCTCCACCTTTGCTTGGTTCTCTCGGTAATTATCAGCTCAAATGGAAAGTAACCAAATGCGAAGGATGTAGTTGGCAAACTTTCTCCACAGTGCCATCCACAGAAACGTTTTAATAAGAAGAGTGAAATGTTCTAAATATTCTAAGACGAAGAGTGAAGATACAACAGTTTGTTTCAGATATGCACTGTTTAACTGATAAGGGTCCACTTTTTAGGTGATCTCCAACTTTTTCTCTGCACACATGTCATACTAAAAACCAACTCATTTCCCCACTGAGGATGAGAATAGGAATTGTGCATCTTCACTTGCTATCAGTTAGCCATGAATCTCCCCCATCTCTCCTGGCAAATGTTACCATTTCACTAGATTACGAGAGGCACATACATCTTGCTTTAGAAACATACCTTTGTTTGAGATCTGTAAAGCAGTAATACACCATGATCTTCAGACTTTGGTTAAATACTATACTTTAATCTCTCAAAATCAAGAGACTAATAATTCAGTTTGTCAGGTAGCTGATCCTCTTTCTGATTATTCGGAGTATCTGTTACCTGACTACCCTGGGATCTATGCAAACATCTGAAGAAGGATCTGAGACTCTATATAGTAACCGTAGAATTTCAAGATGATAACATCTGCCTATATGGAAACTTTGTGCCTCATTTTGAAGTTTGTTTTTAGCAACGGCTTTGAATTGCAATTGGGGGAGGGTGGAGGTTGGTTTTCCTTCCATGATGGTATACAGGAGCAGTTCAAGACAGGAGGTACTCGCATGCCTTCATGAGACAATATGCAAAAGACCCCAAATATAAGCACATGCAGTTGAATCCATTCTGGCTATGTCACCTTGAAAAACTGCAGTAAGGGAGACTAATTATTTTTTCCTGCTTAGAGCTGAGTACAGATTGTTTTACACTGATGCAAATGGTCCTTTTGTTGGGGGGGAAAATGAAATTAGCAAAATTAATTCATGCCTGTGGGTTTACAGAAGTAAGGTGTCTTTCAGTTTTGGAATCGGAGCAAACTGGTGGTTTTTTCTGTGAAAGGAGCCTAGAATACGCTGGTTGCTCTCGGGCTGGGCAGCTTTGAAATAACAGAAGGCAAAAACTAGTTTGTTTCATTATAATCTTTCATTTGGGTAATTCTGAAATGTGCTGCTTCAGTTTTGACCTTGCTTACTTACATTTTTTCCAGGACTGCTTTATTCTTCAAAACAACTTTTTTTGATTTTAAAGAAACAAACCCTTGAACTTTCATTTTGAAGTGGTGAAAACAGGAGATGGAGAAAATAGTTCTTTCCTGGAAAAGTTCGTAACATATTGGCCCTTTCCAAAAAGAGGACTCTCGACCAGTCCTACTGAAGACCCATCAGGCTGACCGGTCCTGGTAACATGTGAAGCGGTCAGCCTCCTCTCAAGGCCCCCCAGGCTGAGTCTTCCACAGCCCATCCCTTGTGCTGCCCTCTCCACTCCCCTGCCTTACTACAAACTGTCAGGAGAGACCAAGGAAGCAGGAGGGAAAGGAAGGAAAAGATGCTCGATGCATTTCATAGAATCGTAGCATGCACTGGGTTGGCAGCAACCTTTAAAGATCTAGTCCAACCCCATTTGCACAATGCTGGGGGAGCAGGGAGCAGATGGGTAGTGTGGTGGAACGTGGTGTTCTCCTCAGCGTGCTTTGGGCCAGGCCAGGATCAGTCCTGCTCCTTTGCAGCCTCCAGCTGGGATGGGAGCAGTGCGCGAAGCAGTCCTTGCCTGCGCTACACGAAGCCTTTGTCCTGGCAGGTTTTGTAGCACTGCTCAACCAGCCTTAGTCTTGTTGTGAACAAAAAAGCCATTAACATCCTGCAGAGTTCCTGGATACTAACAAAAAACACTGCGTTCTCCAATTCTGTTAGTTCACAATGATGAATGTGTATAAAAGAGACTAAAATGAAAATGAGGATACTTTTTTTCCCATATATTGTGAATACCTCTGATCATTTTTCATGGCAAGAGGCACTAAATTTTGTAATACTTTCCACAATGGAAATGACGAGATTATTTTACTATGTATGGAATATAAAATTAGATTTGAGAAGTATAAATAAATATGCAACAGGAAATAACTGGAATGCAGGAAGATGAACTTGCTGACCTGAGAGGTCTTTTCTCTCTTTAATGATTGCATAGATATGTTTTCATTTGTTGTTAATAAGAAAATATATTAATAAATGTAGCTAAATGTAATGAAACTTGATAATTCTTGAGCTGATAAGCTGTATAGTTTAAGTCATACATATTTAATAGCCAAAGAAGGAAAATAAAATTTATCATTTATGTTCAGTCTTTGAAATGTTTCTGCCACACCTATAAAATATATTTTTAGCAGCCATTATGAATTTTTTTAGTGGTGATGCTTCAGAATCCTCTATTTCTTTTAAATCCCAACATATTGCATATTTTCTACACAGATGGTCTTCAGAGTCTAAGCAAGGCTTTTAGATATGTCTTTGGCTATGACAGCCCTGTGCTTGGGAGAAAACAGTGTCTCTGGCTCCTAGGGGATTAGTTAGTCCAGGTCAAACCCAAGAGAGGAGGCAATTTTGACCCACACATAGTGGAACTCTCTCTCAACCACTTTTGTCTGTTGACCTCTCCATATTGGATCCTGATCTCTTCTGCACATTGTGGTTTACCAGGAAGAAGGGGTGTTTGGCAAGGTAAGGGTAGAGAGACAGGGGCACCAGGACAACCAGATCCGTGTGTGCCTGGTCTCCCGATGCAGTAAGCGAGCAACTAACCTGTGGTCACCTCATCTGGCTGTAGGTAAAACCACCTACCTGTCTTTTAATCTTCAAGGCAGTAACCAGGTACAACTTTACCTGAATCCCAGCAGAACAAAGCTCCGTTTCTTCCCAAAAGAGTGACAAGACTGACATACATAAGTTTAAAAATATAACATGAGTACCACAGGGCTGCATGGACAATTAGAGATATTCTGACGCGGTGCCCATCTTGGTAAAGTCTGGTCTCCTGTGGGTGCATCATTAAAATAGGCTATTTTTTACTGCTGAATCTCACCAGAAAACTGTTAAACTTATGACTTGAGTAGGTTTACAACCGTGTATCATCTCTCACATTATATTGAGTTATAAAGTACCATCTCACTACACGGCATACAGTGATTTAAAAATACAAACAGTGTTTTAAAAAGCCATGGGGACTTCGCGGTTTTGTCCTTTTGGTTTAATTCTTACTTTCAGTTACTGCTGCTCGGTCAGTACTGGCAGATCAGTTTTGCCAGTGGCGCCTCAGTTTAGTTTATGATGAGTCTTGCTTGCCCCCTCGTGGTGTAATGAGAAAAGACAGACCCAGCTGCAGTTTGCGCTTTTGCTCCTACTGTGTTTGCGGCTGGTGCTCCAAATACTTGGGGTATGAGTAATTTGGTGCTCATTTCCCCTTTTTTTGTACAGGTAGGTTACCCACTTGTGCCCTCTTAACTGAACCCTGCGTTTTTATCACACACGAATACACCAGAATGGGCAATTTTTCATTCTAGAATCACGAAGGAAGCTCAAAGGCTTTTTCATTCACTTATTTCTGAATATGCTGTCTATAGCTGTAATAATCTTTCAGGATGGGTTTTCAAGCCTACCAAGTTCAATTACATAGTTATTTCAAGATATAAGCGGATGGCTCTTTTGAAATTGACATAAATAACTGTGGAGAATCAACCAAATTTACTAACTGCAAAGCAGTTGCTAGGCTCCATCACTGAAAGAACTGAGGTTTTGCTGTTCCTTAACTAACTTGCAGGCTTTTAAAATGCCAGTCTTTTATAACCCTTCAGGTTTTTTACACAGTTTATATAATATTTCATATATACAAAGCAAAAAGTAGTGAGCAATATGGGTCTGTTCCAAACCCTGCTGAAGTTAAAATTAAGATGGCATCACATAAGCTAATACCTAAATCAGAAATAGTAGAGTTACACCTCACTGGTAGAGCTGTGATGTTTTTGATCCTGTGTTGGACTTCTGAGCGTTATGAACAAACTTCCTTGATATGCAAAAAAAGGGTTATAAAGCTGCAAAGCAGTAATGAAGGCTTCTGTGCACACTGATTAAGAAGCTTCTGTGGCCGTTAATAAAATTTAGTCTTCTGTCTCTTCTCTTGTAAAATCACCCAGTTGTGGTAAATTCAGTTGTCTTCAATTATGCTATTAATTCTCTGGCTCTATTAGAAACTTTTCTAATAGAGTTTCATATTTTCACTTTATCAAGAGTGTGAAGTAAAAAATTGTTCCCACCAAAACAGAGAGAGTAATAACAAAAGAATACTTTCTCGTATGTCAGCTACATAATTTGTTCTTTGTAACCTGAATAAAGAACTAGATTTCAAGAGGTGGTCTGTGCTGTCAGACTATTATGAAAAGAACATCCTGGCATCATTTGACAGCTAAAGAAAAAAAAAAAGAAAATCTTCATCTCAGCTTTAGAGGCCTTCAGATCAAAAAAGACTCCGAAAGCCATTAGTGTGTAGAACTGGCTGACAATGGAAAAGAGGAAAGTGCATCATCTGGAATATTTAATACTGCATGTAGATCAGTCCTGAAGTGTCAAGGTGATGCACTACTCCTAATGGGCCTTTTCCATTTTTAATTTCTATAATCAGGATCATAGTTTAAGCTCTATGCCAGTGACAAGCAATCTCATTTTTAACTGGAAGTTACCAGAATGGGAAATGTCAACAACCTAAGCACTGTGGGAAAAGGCTAATGTTATTTGGAAGATTTATGTATGAAACAGATATCAGCAGAGGATCACTATATACTCTTAGTCTGACTCTACATACATATTATCATAATGTCTGTCTTAACTATACAAATTTCCTAAATTGCACTAAAATGCTACTGATTTATTTTTATCATAGAGACCCATGTTTTGTTTTTTACTATAATTCATTGTCTTACTTGCAAGATACATGTCATAGAAGATACAGGAGGAATATATTGGCATAAAATATTGGCATTTGGAATGGGATACCAGTTTGCTGTCTCTGTTTTTTAGTTGCAATAGCTAGCAAATATCAGCAGTTTGGTCCTAATGGGGATTCATAACCTCTGTAACACAGATCGGAACAGACAACACACACCTGATCCCTCAGCTTCTCTCCCAGTTCTTGCATGGGTCTCTCTTCTGTAGTACTCATGTAAACTAAGAATTGCAGATTTTACCAGCTGACCTGGACTTAATCACAAATATGGTTTACAGGATATCCCACTCAAGTCAGTGGGAATAATTGCAGGTTTCAGTCAAGCTTGTAGTTCAGGACCTTTCATATCAGGCTCCTAGTGTAAAAAAGCCAAATACATTGATAAAATAAACATGCTCTGCACTCTTTAAAATAGTGTTACCTGATCTCTCTTAAAAAACAGTTCAAAGGGATAGCTGCAATGCCTTTGTACTTACAAATTTGTAGTTACAAAAACAATTGTGTAAAAAGGAAAAGTTCTCTTGTACAAGCTGTACTGAAAATTTTTTCTATTTAAAATTAACTGTCAGACTTTGTCAGTGGAATATATTGCATTGTTTTCACAACCTTTAAAGATTAATGCTTTTCCCCTGCAGAATTATGAAATTTCATGTTGCAAAGAGAAAGTTTAAGGAGACGCTTCGTCCATATGATGTCAAAGATGTCATTGAACAGTATTCAGCTGGTCATCTAGATATGTTATGCAGGATTAAGAGTCTTCAATCACGGTAAGGAAAGAATAATTTCTGCTCTGCATAAGCACCATATGTTACATCATCCACTGCATAATAACTATTGTTAATGTCTAACATTTCTGTGTTATATCTGGTTACAAATTGCCATGCATGCTTCAGCCTAGCCTCTCTTGCCGTGAGCACAGCTGAGCCAGAAATTACATTGTGGGTAAAAACAAACAAAAAAACATGTATCTAAGTTGTTCCCAGAAAATGGAAGTCTGAACAATAGAAGAGGTAATCCTTTTTTCTGTAAAGTCCATCATAAACAAGGAATTTAGTCAGGAGGTTGCCAAAATGGTGAGGTCAACACTGAGAACTGCTTTTCTCCCATGCCACCACTTTCTCCTTGCACATAAAAGAAATCAGGTACTCCTGGTAATGTAGCATTTATGTAGGTTTTATGTTCTATATAAAATAAAAAATATTACATGATGTGTGTCATTACCAGCATCAGGGCTGAGATGCCTGCACCTTCCCAGAACTTGGTGCTGTGGTTAGGATGGGAGAGCCGAGGGTGACACCACAGGAGAGGCCGCCTCCTCCCTCCTCCTCTCAGCCATGCCTTTCCCACGTGATGACTAAGTTCTGGCCACCAGTTAGTGCCAACAGAAAAGAAAAACAGTCTCAAATGCTCAAAAATCACGCTTTTTCTTAAGTGTGTCTTCTTTCTCAAGTGCTTTTCTGAAGCACCATGATTTTAATTTTTAACGTATGGATATAGCAAACACTTCCATTATCATCACTGTTTTCAGGAATCACAGCAGCTTCTGATCTCTCTTACAGCGTTGACCAAATTCTTGGGAAAGGACAAATCACAGCAGATAAAAGAAGTAGAGAAAAGAATCCTGCAGAGAATGAGACAACTGATGACCTCAGTATGTTAGGGCGTGTAGTCAAGGTGGAGAAACAGGTAGGGTGATTATCTGTGTTGTGTTGTCTTGCTCTGTTGCTCATGCCTTTTGTGTAGTTTATTGCCAGTTTCAAAGGCTGAACACATAAAATATTTTATTCTAGTATCAGCTTCATCCCCATGTTGAAATAAAATTGCTATGAATCATATGACCTTAACTTCTTCCATGTACAGAAAAGTAAGTAAGGAAAAATCACAGGTTGATTTTTTTTTACCCTTTTATCAGCTTGCTTATGAAAAATTTACATGGCTTTTGACATTATTTTCAATATTGAGTCAACAGGGTATACCAAGCTCCCTCCATTTTTATCTTCAGCAGTCCCATTTTCCCTTTGCTTGGCTTCCAAATGTTTTAAATTAATATTTGGCCTTCATGTTAACCTTTTCCTCTCCTCCTGCAGGTACAGTCCATTGAGTCAAAACTGGACTGTCTATTAGATATCTATCAACAAGTTTTGCGAAAAGGATCTGCCTCCGCGCTCACGTTGGCTTCATTTCAAATGCCGGCTTTTGAGTGTGAGCAGACTTCTGATTACCAGAGTCCATCGGACAGCAAAGATTTGTCTAATTCTGCACAAACGAGTGGATGCGTATCCAGATCAGCTAGTGCCAATATGCCTCGTGGCCTACAGCTTATACTGACACCAAATGAATTTAGCACTCAGGCTTACTATGCTTTCAGTCCAGCTATGCATAGTCAAGCGACGCAAGTGCCAAACGATGGACCTACAATGGTTAATAACACATCAAACCAAATAAACCAGGCCACTAAGCCAGCAACCCCAACAACATTACAGATACCACCTTTCTCATCAATGAAGCATATCAGCAGGCCTGAGCCCGTTCATATTATTCCTGTAACCACACAGGAAAATATTTCCGACGTCACCGCTTGCCTTGTTGCTTCGAAGGATAACGGACAAGTTGCACAGCCCGGTGCGGCGAAGGATCTCGCGTGGAGAAAAGGTCTGGATACAGAAGGGGAACCTTTGCTCTCAGTTAAACCTGTGGTGCAAATGGATTTAGGAAAATCTTTATCTGTACAAAACCTTATACAATCAACAGAAGAACTGAATGTACAGATCTCTGGCAGTGACTCCAGTGGTTCCAGAGGTAGCCAAGACATATACTCCAAATGGAGGGAGTCAAAATTATTTATAACTGATGAAGAGCTGGAGACAGAGGCAGGAACAGAGACTACTGAAGCCATCTCGCGCCCGTTAGTGGAAACAACTCTCTCTGCTGACTCTCTGAGGACTGGAATATCAAAATCATCTCAAAGCATCTGCAAGCCAGGGGACGGTACAGAAGCACTCAATCTCCTCCATGTCAAACTTAAATAAGAGCTCGTGGGCTTTCTTCATTGGCTGGATCATTCCTCTAGTCATACATATCATAGCATGAACTGTTTTGAAAGCCTTTTTAATAAGAGAAAAATCACAAAAATCAGGATGAATCTGCAAAGCAGTTGAGTGAGCCCATATCTCCTACTTGCATGAAAATGCATGTTTAAGTGATGGCTAACATTCAAATTTACACCTACAGTACGGCAGCCTTTCATGAAGTACCGTAGGTTTAAATAATGAGTTGCCTACAAAGCTAATGCTGCAGGATGTATCAAAAGGCAAAAATTCGAGCATTTAGACCTAGTGCCGTTTCTACAGGGCAGAAGTAAAACTCCTAAGGTTTAAAGCACTTTGCTTCGGAAGTAATTAAATATATATATATAACGTCCGGATCTAGATGATAGTTTATGTTTACAACAACAACAAAAAAATATCTACAGCTGCTAGCAAGGTACCAAGGAAACCAGTAATATGGGGTTAGAAATTGCTGCCAGTTGCAAGATACACATATTAGCTCATCAGTAATCAGTTACTGTTAACACTGAAAACCAGTATGCTAACATCCATCTGATTTTTGGTGATTTAGTGCTGTGGCAAAAGTACCTGACACACCACTGTCATGTTGTTCTTTTTAACAAGAACATTATTTTGCTATGAAAAGTTTGTAATTTAAGGATCGGGGCTGGCCTCAGAAGTGGATAACCTGGGTGACCGCACAAAAAAATCAGGGGAATCTCTCCTTCTTCCAGTCTCACTGAGGAGCTATCTCGTGAATCTGAAACATTTTGGCAGCAGTAGGTGAGAGAAGGAAGCAGGTGTTGCCTTTATTGTAGAAGTAGTAATTCCTTCTGTGGAAACTTTGGCAATTTCCCTTGCAGTCCCAACCTGATACCATGACAACACTTCATACGGCTGGGAAAGGAGGGAAAATGAGGAACTAAAATACAGAGTCAAACTAAAGAGGAAAGATGAGGGAAGAGAGAAAGGCAACACAATGGATGAAAAGAAAAAAAATATGGATTTTCATGGGAAATGATCACAGAAAATAAAACAATGAAAGTAAAGAGGCAACGAGTTACTTTTTTTTTTTCAATCTGGCCTGTCAAGTCACAGATAGTGAGTGCTATTTCCAAAAAAAAAAAACAAAAACCACCATGTAGGCAATCAGAAATAGAAACAGAAGTAGGTTAGACCACCTTAACTGAAATAATAATGAAGAGAAGGGGGTTTTAGTTTGTTTATTTGTGTTTGTTTGCTTTTTAAATAAAGGAGGAGGAAGAGAGAGGGGCAAGTGTTCACGCTTTTCTAGCTCAACACTGTGTCACAAGTGCAGTTAATTCTTGTGAATTTTCCAAAACAGGACCTTCGGGCTCCCTCCTCCCAATACCCAAGTTTTTTAGTTCAAAGCCTACGTCAGACCGA